GTGTTCGCGATACCCTCCAAATTGGGTGAATTTCGAAAAAAAACTGAGCATCAGTGATGACCTTATTAACCCCTTCGATCCGTTTGTTGTGATGAATAACGGCTTAAAGAGTCGGGAGGGCCAAAGTAGGTTTATGGTCTGTTAAAAACGATAAGTTTTCCACCTTCGAGCAAGTGGCAGAGATTTTTAAATACCGAATAGATTGCTAATTGTTATTGAACAGAAGTACTACAGTGAGTCTGTTTGGCTGCGATATGCGGAAGAACCAATTGATCGAGCTTCATTGTTGACACTGCCGAATACTCTACTCTCGCATCAAAGCTAGAGTGGAATGAGCTTTCGAACCTGAGATAAGGCTAAGTGAGCTAGTGTTTGTATGACTTCTAGAGTTTGAGGAGTCAGTTTGAACTGTCAGCTTTTGAAGAGATTGATTAGAGGATGAAATTGCGCTAGTAGTTTATAACCCCTAAGAATGTCGGAGGCTTTCATAGATTGGGGAATGGAGTATTCTGCCAAAGCGTTAATCTTTTACTTCAGAGACGTGATTTTGAAGCCATTGATGCGATGTCCGTGTAACTCTGTCAGCTGAACTTAAAAGGCAAGTGATGGAATTAAGCTTGAATGGATGGTGTCGGTGAACCAAGTGATCAACCGCGATGTTACTGACAACCAGTGTATCTTCAGTGTAGGCGTAAGCAAAATGGAGACCATGTAGCGTTCGCTTGATGAGCTATCGAAAGGTTTGGGCAACATTCTTTAGGCCGAGTGACTTGCGAACAAATGCTGATTGGCTAATGGGTGTTGTTTTTAACTAAGAGCGTCGTCTTTAGCCATAGGGATTTCTGGAATATGCTCCGACCAAGAACTTTTTTTGAAAATACTCTTCCCGAACAGTCCTGAGAAGGGAGGAATCATGTGGATGCAGCGTTTGATATTTCCCAGGTGTTTCTGCCAGTTCATCCAGGCAGCTATGGTTTGGTTTTATGGCCGGAATTGCGTTGTATCGGGAGATAGACACTTAAACCAGTGTTCTTGCGATGTACCCTCAGTAACGTGGATCTGATCAGCAGCAGAACATACGTTGTTGCGATGGTGCTTTTCCTCTCAGACAACAGTTTTCGGAGTTGCTTGCCGTCGGATATAATTGCATGTCCCAACCGAATAGTAATCACATAGCTCTGTGTGTATTGTGTAATTGCAGCTTATCGTTCAGTAGAACCATGACAACTTCAAGCAATGTAACGAGGCTTTTACTCACTATCATCTGTATGTGTCAACCTGAGCAAACAGCGAAACCACGTAGGACTGTTTAGGTCACTGAAACACCCACAAGCTTTGTCGCCTCAAAAATACTCTACGACTTCCACACCGCATGACTGACGCGATCGACTGGCCTTGAGTGAATTGCCAACTGTTGCGTCGTGCCGTGCTTACTACTGACTAACGCCACACATCTTTCATGTGCTTGTGAGTCTGAGTGTTTCTTGGTTCGGCCAATATACGCTACTCATCTAAACAAGAAGCAGTAGAGCGCATTGATTTTAAGCCTCACAAACCAAATTCATAGAATGGCTGCAAGCATGTAAGTCTGGGAAGGAATTCACCCACGCTATCCAGGTACTAATCGTCCCGCGTATCTAATGCATAAAAATGCGTACTGCGTTTGGTAGACCAGCGGTTGCGATGGTGTTCAGTTTCTTGTTTCACCGCTTGAGGCACACAAGTGACAAAATCACCAGTTTGATTGAATTCGCATTTCTCGCTGTTGAACAAGTACCATCATCGCGATTGCTTTACATTCCCCGGAAGAATCAGTGATTCCTCAGATTTTCGCTGATAAATTTGTCTTGGTTGATTTCAGTCTAAATTACCTGTTTATCCCTTAAACCGGGTGCTTGTAATATTTTCGAGCAGCAAAAAATCTACCTAGCAATGGGTAGTCCTAGTGCAATCTGTTCGACGTTTTCAGGTTACTTGCTACAGAGAGCTGCAGCCACGGTTGACCGTCCTTCATAACAAGGTTATTTTTTGTGCCCTCTCGGGTGTAACTGAAGCTTTTCATTGGAATGAAAAATCTCCGAGTGTTTTCGATCTCATCTTAGTCTTTAAAATATTAGAAAGTGAAATACGGTCTGCAGTCAAATATGACTGCACAGTCGTCTTGTTCTTGCTAAACGACATGTTCAGCTGTAGTACATTTCGGTGCCTAACTGCCATGCCACCAGAAGAAAGCACGAGGGCTGGGATACTGTCAGGTTGCCCAAGCCTATACAGGAGAAGTCGAGAAGCAGAGGTCGCCTTCGAGCCACGGATCTTCCGGTCAGTAAATTCGCGCTCTAGCCACTGAGCCAGCCTGTCCTATCCGACATTTAGAGTGGACTGTGGAATCGAACACCACCTGTCTCAGTCTGGTGGACTGCTTCTGACGCAGCACAATAAAACTATGACTCCGTGTCGCCTACCAACGTTCCTGGACTCCCCGGCAGCTTCATATCAGGAGAATTTCCAGTTTCTTTAGATTTGCATCTGTCGGTCGTGCCACTGCGATTTCGTTAAAACGACGAATTAAACAGCGCTTCTGTCAAGTTAAACCTACATTCGTACAATTTCAGCGTGTTCGTCCGGTGCTCGGTGAGTAATGTCAACTCAGCCGCCGGTGATCACTCGTGAAATCCTATTCACCACTCACCACAAACTCAATAAACACGAACATAGAATCTGTCTGCATGCTTTAGACAATTATCAACTGATTTTGAGAGATTTCTCGGGGTGCACACGGTCATCGTTTATGAGGTCAAAACACACCGATGTCTGCCTGTTATTCTGACGAATCACTCAAATTTACTGGCACATGGAAGCAGTGGGTCGGTTATCGGTACAAAAACGCGAAGCTGGAAAAGTAAAAAGTTCCGTCAAGATCACCCATCCGTTTCAGCCACCCAGCGTATTGCACGGAAACTGCACTGTTATTTCGGAGTGGTCAGATCCGCCTTACCTCTCACTACATTGGGTAAACTGCTGTTTACACACACGATCGCTGAACAACAAAATAACGTTCACTTCACTAGATTTGGTCCTCTCTATCCGTTCAGTCGTCATGCAGAGGTTAAAGCAACCAGCCGCCCTGAATACCTCTACGCTAGGGTTCCCGATTATACATCGTAAACATTTCACGTAAAACTTGAAGTGATCGCAGCACTTCACCCAGGTCGTTTGAGTGTCTGATGAGGGATTCATAAAACAAGACACGGATGAGATTCCTTCAGCGCTGTCCCCATTATAAGGGATTACTCGCCGCAGCCGTTACTTGTCCTAGTTAGTCTTATTTCAATACACCTTAGCAAAGAACTGTAGTCACCGCACGAACTGACCGTTCATCTGCATTCAGTGGGCCATGAAAATTCAAAAAAATGACTTCAGGAACTGCCAAACAGGGTCAAGCTGTAGTTTGTCTTGGTGGCACCCAATGTATTTCACTGATTTCAGCCACTCCAAGGTGCCTTCAGTGAATGTTTTGGCCACTAGAAACTCGTCTAGATTATGCGAATATGGTGTACTATTCGACATTAAGGTCAACCATTTTTCTCAGCTTCAGCTACTGTGGCATTCAAATCTTTAAAACAGTTCACTCACGGAAGCTCCACTATATTTTAGTTAGGTTCCACTTGGTTACAAACTTTTTGGTAATTCATCCACAACTATTGCGAGATGCTATTAGGCCAGATCATACCCGCTGACTGTCTGCTTTTCTGTCATCGATAACACGCCTGCTACTCCACTCGTTAACCTCTCATTTACCTAGTTAGGGTTACGGTTGCAGTTGTCTGGACGTGTAAACTAAGGCACCGAGGTTGGAAGCACCTCAACTAGAAGGAAAGCAGATCACCTTCATCAGACACAGCAAAATTAGTGTTGGAACTGATGCCTCACTGCCGTACAGCCACAAATTCCGTTTAATTACAGCTGAAGCCTTTGAATGAAGAGTGGATGAGGGACGGGACTTGGCGTTGGTGCATCTGAGGGGGCACGGGATCCCATCGTACAACACCCAAACTCCTCGTAATCTGTCTCACGCCCTTCTGCCAAGTCATACGTTATCCACCTCGCCGTTTACACCATTCTGTAGGGGTACGGAGAACAAAATTTGTCTCGATAGACGGTGTTTCGGCATACGTAGCGCATGACCGAGCCATCCTAGTCGGTGGTGCTGGATATTTCCCCCAAATGAAGTACCTGGCGCACAACCAAATATCCATTTTCTGGTTGCCTCGTTGCAAATTCGTTGAGTTCAGTTGACCCCAGGAACATTTCTGGGGCATCGGTGGGCAAAACCCTGAAGACACGTCACGTCATCCGTCTGCAGCGGTCATGTCTCGCAATCACACAACAATACACCATTACTGCAGCCTGGCACACGCTACTCTTGAGACCCAGTGATATACCTTTTTGACGCCACAAGTGGCAAACGTGATTCGTATCTTGGAGATTCATGCACTTATTTCATCAGACACATTTCCGTCAGAGCTAATACAGATACCGAGATATGTAAAATTCTCCACAACCTCCAGTTCTCCTTGGATTGTAAGGGGTATGTTTAGAGACTGTACGTTATGAAGTATGACTCTGCACATTGAGGATATGACGTCATGCCGGAAGACGGTATGATGGTGGCCAGCTTAATCACAACATACCAAAAACAGCTTTACGCGCGTTTGTTTCAATAACCGTTGAATGCTAATGAGTTGCTCAGGGAAAGATCCCAACTCTGTACTTTACTGCGCACCTCGATTGAGTGTGTGAATGGCCGTGTGCTCAGGATTATTCAAAGAAGTTCACAATACCAATCTATGCACTGAATTAATAACAAGCAGCGCACCCGAGTTAACTACGTTCTACAACATTGCCAGGGTCTTTTGTCTCCGTAATACATCATTTACCAATTAATTTCGTCATCCTACCTAGTATCGTGAACCCGTACTGTACTCCATGTTCTGAAAAACACTTGGGACAGTAAAACTCCAGTGTATTGCATGTATGGAGAATTTATTGAAACAGCCTAATTGATAATCGCGGTGGAGACGATACGATTGATTCCGCAGGTGCCAGCTCCTCGGAAAATGCGGAAATAACCCTGAAAATCGAAATGTAATTCGCATGAAACAGAAGCAGCGCACGTGTTTCAATGGAAACGAAAGTAAACAGTACCTAGGAAGACAAGAGTGACCAGGTGGTTCGGAGTGGCAGTCAACAGAACTGCCAAACCTGGTTTGAAGATTACAGATATGCTTTCTTTTGCAATGATCTGTTCCCTAAACTTCAGTACAAAAATTATCAAGCCTGTGGCCTCACATGCACACCATTACTACAGGTGCGATGGAAACGAATTTACGAGAAAGAAACCGGCACGTGCATAATATGATTTCAAAATGGAATGTCTGGGAATGTAGCCTGCTAGGATATGCTGTGTCTGATAATAAGCGTCCCTAAATGAGTTGTCGCCGGGTCGATGACTGGTGGGTTCGTTACCTGTCTTCAGACAAGTCCTGTTGGAACCTCCATGAGGATGTTCGCAAATATATCGTTTTAGAGAATTGAGACAGTCTAAGGCAATTTACACGAAGATGATAAAGCTATAATTTGGTCGAATGTTGAGTAGGATAGTATAGTGAATCATAGGGCTGCATTACTACTAGCTATACAAATGACTTTCTGTAGTTGGCTACGGCTGAATTTGTTTTGGTCCGTACGACACTGGACAAGGAAAACCATTTTATGCGGCATCACACCTCCAATTGCTCAATGTGTAGAGTGTGGGTGTGGACAAAACGGGAGCCAAACGAAGCAGCCTCACCCAGGCATATTTGTCAGGTAGATAGACTCTGGCAACTAGATCGGAACCTCAGCCTGGAGTAATGGACATGAATCTCGACCCACTCACTGGCATGACGATCTGGTATTCGACGTATTCTAATCACGAAAGGAGGTTAATAAGCCAAAAGCAGTAGCATGCATTTTGTTTTCATGCACCTAGATAAAGGACGAACAAACAATCTGACCATAGGCACAGTTCACGGATACTAATCAGCAGTGCTTTGATCTCATTATTATGATCCAAGCTATCAGACTAAATCTAAGTACAGACGTATCGTCATCCTCTTCTTAGTGTATCTTGTCTGATGGAAAAATAAAAGTCAGTCTGGAAGCGATATTCGCACCGCTCACACAAGTAATATACATGGAAAGCTTTACTCGGAGTTGTCAGGATGTTTGGTGATAGAAAGACAATCAGGCGCTCCATTGTATAAGTAGAAAATATTCTTTGGGTGCGATAAGGATTTCAGTGCTTTACGGGCAACAGAATAAAAGTGTTTTGTGCTCACTGTTGTTTCCTTACTATGTTCAAAGATTATTAGGCTCTCGCTAAGGAGGGAATACAAATTACAGGATAACAAAACTAACTAACTTCCTCTCCAAACTTCACGCCCCAACTGTTCTTTACTATCCAGTAGGGTAATCCAAACTCCGTTCCGTAGCCAACAGTAAGGACAGCATGATTGACATTGTGAGGATTGCAGAGAAGTGGTATTGGGAGAATAATTCCCCTTCGGTAGAACTGATATCAAATGGGAAAATGCAGAGAACATTAACGTGACACCTTGACGCGTCCCTATTCAATGGTGCATCTAAGAAATATACTTAAAGTTTTCCAGCCATCACTCACTTGGAGCAATATGGCATTCAATCCAGAAGAAAGTGGACCGATTTCCTTCAATGATTTCGCCTGTGTCTTTTCGCACCATGGCAAGCGAGTTGAACCGTTCACATAGGCTACGAACTTCGATTGGTCCATATAACATATTCCGTCCTTTCCTGTGTACGGGTAATCCGATCGGAGCTCCAACCCGCCCATCTCTTCAATTGCACTGTAAGTCTGTGGGGGATAACCGCCATCACATCCCTGATCGGAATGGTCGCAATCAATAAGTTGCTAGGTACAGAAATGAAAGCACAACGGTCACTTATTTCACAACGCAAATTCAGTTATTACGACGCACTAATCATACGATCTGTGAATGAACCTGGAGCGTTTAATCAAAATGGCGTTGTAGAAACATTATAAAAAATCATGGTACCACAACCTACCAGATTCAACAGAAAATACCCACTGAAATTCGCTCACCTGTTCACTGAGACCTAGTAGATCCCCAGTCTTACGGAACCACTGACCCTCGACATTCCCAATCACAGAAAATGCCCAGCACGAACCACAATCTCCTTGGTCCAATACTGGTCCGACCGCACCATGATCTCGCCAATCAAAATTGCTGTTATCCGCCGTGACATCTTCTTGTGGGGTGGGATCCTCATTGACAATCGGCTCATCAAATCGCATCCTCAAATACCGCGTCTTGAACTCCTCACCTAGACAGAAAACAAGTCCACTCCACTTCCAGTCAGAACAGCTTACTGGTCAGGTCGGAAAATTGCGTTACACCATACTCCGCTGTCCCTTGTTCCATTGCCTGCAGTCTCTTGGCGCGCTCCAAGTTGTCTTTGAAAATTCTAAATCGAAGCTCATCATCTAAATCAGTCGAGTTCGGAGTCACAAAAAAATGTGCGCGCACCATCATTTGAATAGGTCTTCTTGTACTTCAGCTTGAACTCCTCGTATAGTGCCCGGGCATCGTCAGGCTCCTGAAATTCATCAAACATGTTCAACATTCACTGCTCAACTGATGAGATCGCACAATCAGATGCTAGCTTACAGTGCGCCATGCATATGAGGACAAGCACTGTCCATGTACAAATGAATGGGAAAGAACTCACGAATGGGGTAGTTCTGGCGAAGACAGACCAGATTGTTGTCACCAACACGCAACACACGAAAGGTCGCATCTCGTTGTGATGGGACCCTGCTGCTCTCTCCTTCCCGATTTATTCTCATACTCTGTATCAAAGTTCAAGTGAAAGGTCTACGTAACACACAGAGATAGCATGACGAAAGTCCATGGGTTTAGTCGGATTTGAAAAATATGAGATATGAAAAATATGTGATAGGTGTTCTGCGCCGGAGGATGGAGCACGCCTCGAACTCAACTTTGGACCGCGTGAAGGTGCACTTGTAAAGCCGATTGCGTAGGCACAACTCCACTCACGCTCAAACTACACGTTCCTACATTGGGTCACTTTTTATCTGGAGGGTTATCAAACGAAAAACGTTCGAATCGTTGCTCTGACAGGGTTCATCAGCAGAACGTAGTCAACTTAACAAACCGGACTGATGCTTCAAAACCGGCCGAACTTTCAACGACGATCTCCAAAATGTCACAGAATACTTCGAAAACTTGACAGTCGTATATGGTACATAGGAACGTACTTCCATTGTTTTGAAAATGTTTCGTGCCTATTTATCGTTTCCAACAAGAAGGGGTTACGGGACAGTTCTAGTAAGGTGTCATGTTTGCATGGAATTTCAGACGCAAGTAGCATTGACTACTCTGCATTAATCTTCCCAGTGCCGTCCCCTAATGACCGGAGAATTTTGACGCCTTCTGAGTGAATACTTTCCGTTACCAGTTAGTTTCTGTATCTGATAGACTGTCAGACGACCAAAGCATTTACTTACCGTGTTTACTTGTATAAAGTGTGGATCCATATCTGCTGTACGTATAATACAGGCGTCCAATCTTCACTTCTGTCTGCAGCTGACTATCGGTGAGAGTGTGCATTCACATACACAATCGGACCACAGTAAGTACTCCTACGAAAGCATTTTCTAGGGGAAACCATTTGGAGATAAAGTGCTCTAAACAGTAACGAATCTTCCTACAATCACTGAAGTGCTCTTTCACCTTCAACATGGGAAACAATAGCTGAACTGCCTTGGAAAAAAACCACGTTGGTCAATACATCCTGCTTATACACCGTGGTCTCTCACCGAGATGGACTATCTGTGAGGCCCACCAACGTGGGTTGTTCCCATTACGCAGGGATTAACCGGTTCGCTGGATTTCTGTGACCACCAGGGGCTCTTTGGAGGGGAGTCGTTCATCTGCTTTGCTTCCTCGACGCTTCGGTAGTGTACATCTCTCACAAAATGAAGATTCAAATATCGATTTTAATCGCGAACATTATTCACCGGAGTAAAATCATTGTCCAGATGGTCCAAGTGACAGTCCAGTCCATCATGCCTTGAGATGTAGTTCTTCCAGCTACGGAATTTAGTCTCCTCAAACAAATCCGTCACGGGAAGATTATGTACGCATGCAGCGACGTAGGTCATATATGTTTCGCACATAATTATACCGAGGGTGGATTACAGCCCACTTGTCGTGCACCGGGCGATGTGTGTTCCGCGCCGGGGGATGCAGCTTGGCCTCACCGTCAACTTTGGACTCCGTGGACGTAAACTAATCGCATTAGCCACATGTTAAATTTCGTTTAAGCTGTTTTTCGCCTGACGTGCTCTCGGGTTAAAAGCAGGGTAAGTGACTAACAAACCCAATAGCCACGCATTGGATGAGGAGGGTCCAATTGTGTAACGGTTCTCAGGAGAAGTCGATCTCCAGATTTCTCTGTGGGCTTCAGATGAGTCTGTCTTCCGTTTGTAGGATTCATCTTGCGAGCTATCTCACGGTTAATTTAACGATCGCAACTATATGGAAGGGACTGCCGTTTCACCGAACCATAGTGATTTTAATCGAGATCCTGAAACATTACCAATTACAATGCCTACCAAATACCAGGCGCGTTTAGTAAGGCACCGATACACGTCACACTCCATTCAGTGGACATTGGCGTTCGGCTAAAAATAAAATGCGTCGCGGTAAAACACCAGCTGATCAGTCTGTCGAAATAAACACACTTTCACATAATTCGACCGCTGTTGACATCATCTCCTTATTATGGTAACCATACAGGGATGCCAAGCTGGTGATAGGATAACACTTCGAAGCAGTGCATTTGCGTGTTTTTTGGACTGACGACTCGACCCAGTTGTTCAGGCGACGGACGAAGACTCGTTTTCGGGGGTCCTCTCAAAATGTACACCAAGGATAATACTTGTATACTGCTCACCCTCGTTGACGGATAAAACCGAAACACAAATACTGCCTCTCGTTTACGTTGTGAAGAATTCCAAGAAAATGCTGCGAGTTCGGCAAGTTACCGTGCGTTTCGACCACAAATCATTGGGACCAATCCACGGATCTCCATAAGTCAGCCCGGTCACTCTCGGCGCTCAGCTACTTTGCCTTTTGGTTTCGATTTTGACACTCATCACATAGCGTAATCTTTTTGTCATGCAGGTGCACTTTCGTGCCTAATATCTCAACAAAATATCAACAAAAAAATTCAAAGACATCAGTTTCAACCGATAGAGAAATCGAACAAAATTTTCCAGATTCCATTGAGGATCATTCTATCACTACTGGAGCACCTGACAAAGATACTTCGCGTGAATTCCTCCCATATGATCCAATACTCAGATCTGCCGGCACCTACACGAATTCTTAAGGTGAGAGTTTGGATAGACACCTGAAGTTATGGAATTTCACACAAAGTAGGACCATTTATGGCTATGCAATGATCACTCAGCGCGTCAAACTCGCCCAAATTATCAAATCGTATCCGTTGTGTACGGACGTCTTTCGGAATCGGGGGATTGCAAAAATAGAGCAACTGCTGCATGATTGCACTTCAAAGCATCTGAGATGACAAATGACTTCGGTGTGTGAACCTGTTTTGACAGTTCGGAACGGAATCCACAACATTCATGCTGTACAGTGAAATTGCAACTGCCACTTTCCAGCGGAATTTCCGCTACCCCCTCTCTACGCAACTTTCGTGTACATGGCCATGGGCAGAGGCAATTGTGAACTGTTTTCTTCACGTAGGATGACCGTAACGCAGTTTCCTCTCCCGTTACATTCAGGTGCTTTCTAAGCATTGCAGGCGACATCCATCTGTTACAGACAAGTCGGATTTCTTCATGGTGAAGAAGAATACGGCAGATTTCGGTGTGACAGTCAGTGTATGATTCAAATGAGAATCGAAATGCATGAGTTTTTTTACCACTGCGGCTCAACCCCTCACGCGCTCTAATTAACTTCCTGAAACGCAGTCTCGAGAACCAGTGTACGAAGTTAAAATGCACGCGAAGATGACGCAGCGCAGTCGACTCTTCCGCGAACCACTGATGCCCCACCGGCATTACCAGCACCGTTACTTGGCACTGTTGATGCATGTCAAACCAGTGAGTAATCAAATCCACCCAAAGGCGATTCCTGGACCAACCATTTCTTAGGGAAAACACATGGGTTTTTGCGGAATACGTCGCCAGCTCAGGACCAAATTATCGATGACTGCATTCAGTGTGAAGATTGCAGTTGTCAAGTTGTCGAAACATAGGTAGCTCGGGTACGTTTACTGTTGGTTGATCAGATGGCAATTGGTCTGTTCGCCGAGCTTGGCAAGTGGCTTGCAAGTGTTTCGTCCCCAGTCTAGGAGACATCGTCAGTGCGTATTTGATTGGGTGCATCCTCCGTGCCTAGCTGCGCTTATGTAGTTTAGAGCATTAGAGTATCTAATATCGTGTGATGTGATTGGCTAGTTGGCATATACCTTCTGTTGTATTATTATTGGGCCGATCGTGATTCTTGTTGTGCTGTGGTCTGTATGCCTCTAATTCCACTGGTCTGCTGGATTGCTGCTTTGGGGTACTTCAGGTCCGTTCCCGGTTTGTGTTGCGTGGAATCTGGTTGGTTGTGACGGCGGCTTCTATTTTTGGTAGTTTCCCTGCTTCAGCCTGATTGTTTGCTTCTTTCCATTTTGTCCGCTTCTGCGTTCCATAGTTCCGTAATTCTTTTTTTCTGCAGTGGCTTTTCAATGGAATGCCATCCTTCTATGAATTCACGTTCTTTCTTTGTTCTCGCTTGAGCCAATATGTGAACGGGCCTCCAGTTGGGTTTGTGTCCATCTTGATCCTCATGTACGAAAACGAGTGAAAATTGGCCGTGCGTTTTGGTTGCAAGTGTGTGTTCATTTATCCTGGTAGAGAGCTTCCTTCCTGTTTGTCCAACGTAGTGTTTGTCACAATTTCCGCACTGAAGCTTGTACACGATGTGCATTCATTCCTTTGGGTTTGAGAGTGTCCTCCGTAAGGTTTTTGCAGGTTTGTGGGACACTGTTGTGCTGTATTGTCGTACCAACCGTGCTGTAGGGTTGGTCAAATTCGGTTTCCTCGGAGTCTGCCAGATGAAATTTCTCGGGTATCCATTACTCTGAAAAGCTCTGCACAAGTGTTTCTCTTCCCTGATTTTTGACTCCGTAGCATTACTGTGCGTCTCAATACGCCCGAAAATGTTCCGGATGTAGCTTTACTTGTGACAGTTCGGGTGATTGCTGTGT